CCAGGACTTTCCAACAATCTGAGGAAGTTCTCAGTGCATCCAGGCTTCTCAGGGAGAGAGCCCCACCTCTACAAATCCCAAGCAGTCAAGCTCCTCTGCAACCCCAACCCCCCCGCCTCTCACCCACCCCAAGAGCCCGTACCCTAGAGGGACGCCAAGAACACACCCTTCTCCACCTCCTCCCAGAACACACTCTGCCGTTTCCAAAAGCTCGGCACAGCAGGCACACTAGATTCCTGCAAGACAAAAACCTCTTTGGAATCCAACACCCAGCCAAGCAGTCCTGTCTGCTTTTAACAAATCTTTCTGGAAAATTAAAATGTAACTCAAGGTACAATCCCATAGGCTTAAATTTTAACCCAACCCAATAAAAATGCATGGCCCCTTCACTAAAGCATACATGTTTACGAGATCTACCATCCTCTCTGCCCTTTAACACGTAAATCTAGAAAAGACGCAATTAAATATTAAAGTACACATGGGTCAGCACTCACTGTCATCGTTTAACGAAGTGGCAAATGCTCTTCACCCCTCCCCCTACGGAGCACAGTAATGCAGCACAGCAGAAGCACTTCCGGGGTTTTCGGGAGCAGTGCCTTTGAGAGACTGAATTTACAGACCTCATCGTCCCAGACTAGACCGCCTGAGCTCTGGCTAGTGGGGGAAGCCCCAGCCTTCACTCTCCCTTCCTGCCCCATCAGCAGGAGGGAAGCCTCTCAGCGAATGTTCCAGCAACAAGGGTTGCCTAGGCACCAAGGGCAAATCCCTAATTCCTTTAATGGGACCACCACTCAGCTCTTTACAACATGCCTTTCCAATGTATTTTTATTTTGTGCATTTAGTAATTACGAAGATCAATGAGGCATTTGAGCTTCTGTGATCAATTTCGTATTGGTAATTACAATGACAAAAGATACTTCTGGATGGCGTGAACACAGCCTTATGATTACAGAAATAGTTTAAACTCCAATTTACATACACTTGTGTCACAAGTGGAAAGGAGGATCAATGAAAGACTCTGATGTGGAAAGAAGCTGAAAACAGCAAACGTCCAAGTTCAAGAAGAAAAAAGATGCACCTGTTACAACCATCAACAGCCTGGGGGGTGTGGTTTTTAGGGTGGACAGTGGTTATCCGGTCAGTAACATACTTAGCCTTGGATCCTTTCAAGGGCATTCTAATTGTGAATTTCAGTGTCCACAGACACACTACACTAGACATTACATCTAATTCTATTTAAAATTAGCCAAAAGCTCAACGTCCACTTAGAAACGCACCTGAGGTCTTCAAAGATATATGAAGTTATATGAGCAAAAACGTCTGAAGGTCTCCGCTGAGAGGCAAATAAAACTCTCCAAGACCCGTACTCTAACCAGCCACCAACTGAGGAACCAGCTCCCCCCACCCTGTTACGGCCAGTGAACTCGGGGTTGACAAGCTCAGCTCTGGGGTAGGGACGGCAAAACTCCTTCCCCCTTAAAATAATTGGTGGAAAAATATTTCCTTCCCACTTCAAACCCAAAAATTATACTTTTGGGTAAATAGATTCTCCTACAACGATGACTAAAATGTTGGCAATGAGAAGCGGATTTGTTTCCTGGCCTTGCAGAGTCCAACTGATTGCTCAAAATTGCGAGATAAGCTTTGCCTGCAAAATACAGTGACCGCCCCATCTGGAGCACAGCCCCCCAGCGATTGTCCCACAGCTCCCCTCTGTCATCTGCCGCAAGGGTCTGCTATGGATTTCGCACTCAGGACTTGGCTGTCTTCACGACGGGGAGCATTTGGGTTGCCAATGGATTCATTCAACCGGCTGCGGGATTCAGAGGCAGAGCCCCAGGAGAGATCCTCCGGCAAACCACCAAAAAACGTGGAGAGGAGCCACACCCCGGAACCCCAGGTCAGAAGGCCCTTTTTGCATGCAACAAAAGAAAAGTACCCCGCGGGCACTGGTTCAGGAATGCAGTTTTCCTCTCCGCCAGCAAAATCCTTCAACAGGTTTGGGAGGATGAAAACACCAACGACCTCGGTCTGAACAATGCTTCCCTCACCTGGGCTGCCCGCCAAGCAGAGGTGGGAGGGCAAGGTAGCCTCTCGCTCAGTAAGTAGAAAACTCTCTGCAAACCCCATCCTGCGATGGCAGTATCCCACCTTGGGGTGGCGGGCATTCCCCCTCCCAGGAAAACGTGCACCCTCGTGGGGGGCTCCTCTCCGGAGTCTGCCACTGACCCTGTGCAGCCCCGAATTAGTGATGTGGAACTCCAAGTCCTCCTCGCCCAACTTCGTGGTTTGGTGTCCTTTCTCACAGCCTCCCTTGTTCTGCCTGCCCATCGGTGAAGGTGGGGACACCATCTGTCCCCCCGCAGCCATGTAGGGGCCCCGCAGGAGCGCCAAGCTTCAAAAGACTCTATCCGTGACATGCAAACAGTAAGTGGATTACGCTGCTGCCCTCGAAAGTCTGTGGACGTTTTAATCTTCTTAAAATGTCTCCTCTAAAAGTCACTTGCCCAGGAAGGAGGCTCGCAGACGCCGGGAGGCCCCCACGAAGTGTTTCCAATGCTACTGCTCCCCCGCAGGCAGCGGGCTGGTCCGAAAGATCTATCGTGCAGACTGGTGAAGTCGGACTTTTGGCAAGCTTCCTCCTGATCTAGGGCCGGGAAGCTTCCTTTGCACACAATGAAAAGATCCACAATCCCCCGGCTCGCTCCAAGTGCCTTATTTCACAAAGGCCTCACATTTGATACCTTTGATTTAAAAAAAAAAAAAAGGGGGGGGGGCCACTCGAAGCACATTTTGAAAGTTCCATGTTTAAAAAGATCCTTGTTCATTGATTTTGGTGGGGTAATTACGCTAATGTAAACAAGGGGGCCTTGTCTGGGCGCCTGTGGGGGAGGTGCAACGGGCCTGGCCTGGGCCAGGAGCCCCCCCCTGCTGACGCTGACTGCTCCGGCTCCAGGGTCCTCTCCGACCCCCACCCCCTCTTTCCATGTGGCTGCTCTTGGCTGGGAGGCTCTCTCCCTCTGGTCAGATCTCCACTCAGCACAGCTGAAACGCTCGTGTTTCCTGGCTTGGAGTGGAAGCAACCCCTCTCAATGGTGCTTCACCGAGTGCACCTCCATCCACGGGTGTGCTGTGACCAAGCAACCCGGGGAGCCAGAGGCAACAACTGTGCAGCGGCAGCCTCCCCGGGAACACGGCTTCTAGCGCATTCCAGCTCCACAAATTACAGACAGGGCTCTGCCAGGGGTGTTCCCGAGGAGGGTACGGGCAATTTGGGGTTGTTGGCCACCTACGGCGCTAGCCAGCAGCCCTCACTCCGTGCCAGGCCGTGAGGCTGCTCGTCTGCTGCACGGGGCTGGGCTCTGGGGGCTCGTGGGGCAGCAAAGAAGGCAGAGAGGGCACAGGGTGCAGACGAGCGATAGGGACAAACAGGCAGCACCGTCGGAAAGTAACAGCAGCACCCAGACCCCACTCAGCTCTGCGCCCCACTATGCCCCTGACGACGCAGATGGAACCAGTCCAACGTCAAGCGACCTAATCACCGGCCAAAATACCTTCTCGGACTCCTTTCCTCCCTTGGGGACGGGGGAGCTGCCATTGCCGCAGCCCCTCCCCCTCTGCAGACCTGCAGGGCGGGATCTCCTGGCTCCAAGAGAGCTGGGCCCCTTCCCTAGACTCCTCCTTCCCCTTCCCAGCTCCCCTCCTCTCCAATAAGCAAAGTTGGAGAACGGACACAGCCCCAGGATGTTAAAAGCTGCAAGCCACCTCGAAGCTCACCCAGTCCAATCTCTGCTCTGCTGCCCCCCCGCCGCCCCCCACCCATGACTGGGACACTCCTTACTGCAAAGGAAGCAGGCCACTCACTCACGGCCCCCACCCCCCGCCCCTGCCCCAGAGCGGCTGGGCAGCCTGCCCTGGGGGGCACCTGGGACACAAAAAAACCCCACTAAAGACCTAATATGCATTTCAAATGCATCTCAAAAGGTCCACCTCCGTCCTTTACAGCTGCTGCCCATAAAAATAATTAGACTGCCTGGGACTGAAATTCCTGATTTTTCAGACAACCTATTTCCCCACCCTCTCACCGGAGAGCACTTGAGATCCTGATCAAGCCTGGGTCTTTCCACTTAGGGGCCTGCAGAGGTGCCGGCTGCGAATGCTGCCACTACTCAACTTCAGGCAGATTCTGCAAAATCTCTCCCAAGCCTTAAATAAACTCTCTCTTTTAATACTTAATTCCAATCTAGCAAAAGGGCAAGGAAATTACTCCCGTTTTTAAAAGGAGATTAGGGATTACGGTTTCTGATAGCCAACCATTCGTTACACTTAATCAATAAACCAGCCCTCCAGCTTTTTATCCCCTCCCCCCTTTTTTTTTTCAAACACAAAGTAATAGAGATGACCGCTGACCCCGTGCCCTACCTGTCTGTCCGGGCAGGAGAGCGGTGCGAGGTGGTCGTAGTGAAAGAAAATGCAGGACACACACACAGAGCACCGCCAAGATCCGCCCTGGGTCTCCCCAGCAGAAACAGGCTTTGATTCTGACAAGCATTTGACCCCACAACAACTGCTTCAGTCACTCATCTCCAAACCCTCCCTTCCCAGGACCTAGGGCTAAGATGCCCCAACACCCACGAGCTCCAAGGCCCCTTTTGCTGGAGTTAGCTGAGGTACCCAGTGGGGCTGGGGGGCTCAGTCTGACCCTTCAGAGCTCCCCTTGGAAAAACAACAATCTCACACTTCCCAGAAGATCAAGGGCCCCTTCCCCTCCCCCCACCCCACCACTTTCTAGAATCAGTATAGATACCTAACCAAGAGGCGGGGCTTTTCCCAAACCACCCTCCCCGCCCCCGTTTTGATATAGCTCCCCTGGAAAAGCCCTCAGCTGCAAAGTGCTCCCCAATAACCGAATCAGAAGCAACACACCTTGGGGAGGAATGGGTTAAATTCAAGAGCTCCAGGAGGAGGAGCTGCTCGGGAAAGGGGAAGCGGTGCTGAGATGCAGAGAAATGTGCAGGGCAGGGGCTCCGGACGGGCTGCAGAGATGCACTGGCCCCTCTCCTCCAGGGACAAGCCTGGCCACAGGAAATAAAGGTGTCTTCCAAGGGACACACCGAAGGACAAGCACTTAAGACACAAACACGGGCACAGTCCAGGGGGCAGCTTGGAGCCCGAGGTGTGGGACACTGGATGGGCGTGCGGAGCGCGTGTGTGCGCAGGGGGCAGAGGGTGGGGTGAAGGCAGGCGCAGGGGGGCAGGCAAAGGCTGGACTCTCAGAAGTTGGGAGATAAATGTCAGGCCGCGGAGGCAGGACGGGGTCGGAGCCAAGGGGGCGAGGCCCCCGATTCCACTCTGGGTAGAGAAACCTGAGGAAACGCGGTGGGGGATGCAGTGCGACCGAAGGGGGCCGGATCCGTGGTAAGGTGCACACGGCGGGGAGGGGGCCCGGGATGCTCCCGTGGGCATCCTGCGCGGGGGTGACGAGGGGCAGGTGCAGCCCCGGGAGAGGAGGAGGGAGGCCGAGGATGGGGCGCGAGTTCCGGCGGGAGTCGCCCCGGCCGGGTGGTGGGGGCAGTCGGGGCGGGTGTGGGGTGGTGGCCTCCTCCCTGGGGACGAGATGCCCGGGCGGGCCGGGAGCGGGACCAGGAGCTCGAGGCCGGGCCGCGAGGAGATG